ATCCGAAATACGGCAATAGCCCAATCGCTTGGGAAGCTCCAAATGTTTGGCATACTTTGGCCAAGCAACGCTGTAAGGTTGAGGAGGTCGGCAGCCTGCGACAATCTGCTGCGCTCTCCGAACCCCTATGCTTTGTAATTTGTAACACCGGGAACGCCCAACTTTCAATCTGAAGGATCTGTTGGTCCCCCATGAACCAGGCAATTTCGCGGCTGGCGTTTCGACTTCTGCACCTGCCCTATGAAGGAATAACATCCCGACAGCCTAAACCCTTCCGATATGAGGGCTATCTGGGCTCTTGTACTTCGGATGTTTCAGGGAAGCTACGTGGCTACACCTCAAGGGTACCGTAGAACGGCAGTCGAGGTGGCCGCCTGTCTCCTATCTCTTCCTATTTCTCCCTATCATCAACTTCCATATCTTGCAGGTTTCAGCTTTTGGGTTCCAAGAGGTCTTGGGCTGGGTCAAGGATGCCTTTCAAAGCCGGCCTCCTCCTCCACCCAGATGCCACGCTTGCGGTCCGCACCAACGAAGGCGCCCCTCCATGCTTCGGCTGTCTCATATTGCTGGTGTAGGGAAGACTTTTAAGGCCCACAGGTCCCCACAAGCAGTTTGCCTTGCTCTGTGTTCCTCTCTTGCACCTACGAACTGTGGGGATTGAGGGCTTTGTCGGTTTTGAACCTTGCCATTGCAGTGTTACGATTTTAGGATTTGTGTTCATGGGGCAGAAGCACCCGATCAGTACGGGCGTCTAGGATCTCAGAAATTGTTCTCTGGTTCCTGAGGTTTGAAGCGCAGGCTTCGGCAACGCCCCAGCGGGAAAATCCTGTCAGAAGTCATTGCTCGAAGCAGGCTTCTTGCTCTTTCCACATTAAATTAAGCCTGAGGAAGGCATCGTGTCCCCCACCGCAGCATTAAACAAGGTTCCCACGACTCCCATGTTGATAGACTGATAGACAGTGTCAAACCTCGGTAAAACTGACGAATACCCTGGCGAAAGATCGCCAGCCGATACCAGGATTCAAAGATTCGGCCTCACAGCTCTGTAGGCTTTGCGGATGTTGCGGGTGACGAAGTTACCTTTCACATAATTCCTGGCTCGCAGGCAGCTCGCCTATCACAGTCGCTTCTTCTTGGTTTCTAGCCGTTGTCTTAACCGCCATCATCAGCTGCATCGCATAAAGGGCAATACAAACAAGAATCCTGCTCGAGTGCGAAACTCTACGAGCGCATCCAACAGCCATCAGCACAGCATGGTTCCTGCAGTCCCTGCTGGGATTTTCTGGCACCCCAATACCCCTTTACCCTTTAGGGGATGCCTAAACTACGCCTCCTTTGCATGCCTGGAGCAAGAATTTCCACGCTTCAGAGCTACATGGAAACCTGAAGAGTCCTTTAGGTTGTGTACGGTTTTGAATGTATACCAAACCACGGTCTTTCGAGCACTTGCCTCCGAGATTGGCACAAAGGCTTGACCCTCCAACAAACCCGAGAATCCACAGAGTGCGTCGCAGAATTAGACCCTCTTGTTAGGTATGATCAAGCCTCTGTGGGGACAGGCTGCGGGCACGGTGAGAATTCTGAATGATGTTTCCAATGTCTATCCCAAGAATGAGCACCATCTTTCTTCACAGCTTGGGCTCATCATGTCCAGAATCTTGTTGATCTGGATGTTTACATTTCCTGCACAGGAATCGTTATCATTATTCTTGTCACTGTCACTATGCTTAGGTTGCTTTCTTTGGGCTTTTCCATTGCAGAGCCCTTTCTGGCACAAATCTAGTTTTGACAAGGACCTATGAACAAACCTTGAATCGGAATTCCCAAGCTACTAAATACATGCTATTGTACATGGTAGATGCTGGACCGCAAAGCGGAAGCAGTGGGCTCGCGACCGTGTATCCCGGGACTGTTTGCACAGTGAATATTCATAATGTGTACATGCTAACATTTACCAGCATAATGGTAAGAGTAGCACGGACCATTTCACAGCCGTGCATTTCATGCACAATCAAAAAACTCTTAAGGAATAATAACCTCTTGCCGGCGAGCAGTAGCGGCAACACGTACCCTCCGAGTAAGAACACCGCAACAGGAGTTTAAGACTACGTGCTTGCCCCAGAAAGCAGTAACAGAAAACTACCCGGAAGTATCTGCGTCTGCTGTATGCTATAGAGTTTGATGCTATACTATGTACCATATACTTACTACTACATGTTAAATAGTTAATCAAATAAATATATATATATATACAGTAATATACTATTATCATATATGATACACGCGTACTGAATACCATCCACTCTATACTGATCTTTGCCAGGTTGCGGATGTTGGTCTCCCAACCCAAGACCTGCTGCGTCCGCTCGGTACCTCGGAGTTCTTCATACAATCTCAGGGAGACTAGCATAGGGGTTCAGGGTTTAGGGTGCGACAGAGCTGAAAGGCCGCTGCGCTCGGGAGGCATGGTCCGGTCATTGCAGAAACCTCACCTTAACCTCACAGCGTATGCGACGTTGCAGTAAGTTTGACTACTTTCTCTGCGTGTCGGCACACTTGTTATCGGGAGATTGTGCAGGAACTGATTTAGGAGCTACATCAAGTCATCCGGAAAAGCTGCTGCCTGGTGCTGGATGCATATTTGTGTTGCTGGCGACTGCAGCTCGCCTATAGCTAATACAGTAGCTTGCTATTCATAATTGCTGGCAGCGCGCCTGGCTCGCGTTGAAAAACTATAGGCTATGTCTACGGCTCCAGCTGGGATAAGTAGGTGATGCACAGGCTCAGGCTCCAAAAAGGGGGTCTTTGAACTTCGAGCCTCCAATTTTTTCCTGCTGATGAGCTACAGCAGCTTTGGAACTCCTTCCAGACGCCGCTTCGCGTCATTTTGCGAACCTGCCGAGCATCTGGCAGATTGATCAAAAAACGAAGTTGTCACGGTGTCGCGTTGATGGTGAATAAATTATAGCCCACAAGCGGCCACGTATGGAGAGCTGCTACAAGAAAGCCACATCTCACCTGCCCCAAACCGCTCCATGATTGACATGCAGTTTACATTGTATATTCACCCATGGCCCATAAGCTTTTGGCACTCAGCGTATGACTTCAAGCTACGTTTCTCAACCTTCCCCAAACATGTACGTAATTACTTCTAACGGATGCCGTCTGTGACAATCTTCCTGCATCGTGTGAATAAACATGGTTCAAGCGGAAGGCCATCCGCCCGATTTCAACACACGATGGTTAGAGCGGTGGGGTCAGCGGCAAAGGTCCATCCTAGGCCTTACTGTGCACTTTACAGCCCCTTCAGACCATTTCGAGCCTTCCGGAAGGAGCAATCCTTCCTGAGATGCTGGCAGCTGTGGATGCAAGCCCGCAAAACGGTCTGGTGAGTCTTCTGCAATATTGTTAAAGATACCGTAAGAAGTGTCCGGCAGGGCCAACTAAATCAGACCAGGAGTCGAGTCTTGCTCCACGAGCTTATCGATCCTCAGCTTAGTTCCTTAGATGACGCGATCTTCGGACGTGACGGAGCCGACCGATGTCGCTGGCTTCTCGTGTCGGGCCTTGGGTCTAGAAGGGCTCCTGGCTTTCAGGGCCGGACGGCCGGCATCTCGGTGGTTCAGAACCGTGAAGACTATCGTTTCTGTTCCGCCACGTGGCACACTCTAGTTGGGACACACTTGCAGCACTTTTCAACTGCCTGTGCTTCGCAGGATCTGTCAAAACCAAGTGCTAAAGCTCCAAATAACCCGACACTGGCACTGAGTAAAGGGTCTGAAGAGATTGAGGGGATTCAGCCACTGCTTCAGCCTGGTGAACCGAGTCTGCTCCTGCCGCCGCATAGAGGTTTCGGATTCGTCAGGCTTTGGATGTTGGGCTAGACTGCCCTTGCAGGTTTCAGCGGCTCGGGCATCACAACCCGTAACGTAGGAAGTCTGAATGTGCAGACTCGACTGGTTTCGGTGTCAGCTGACATGGCCTCCTTGCATTGGGTGACCGGTCAGAAACAGGAATGGCAAACCGGTGCTCCGTTCCTCTGCCGGCAAGACCAAGTAGAATTTCGTCAGGGTGTCCAGAAGACCTTTGCAATGCTAAATAGCACGGCATAACACAAAACATCAATGGCGGGATAATTGTCCAAACTGTCGTGCGAGAAGCTGCGCCCAACGAGGCAAAGCAAACACCTTAAGTCATAAACCCCAACTCCCGGCCTGTGTCTTTGGGCGAGTACCGAATGCCCCGTTGTCTCGCATCGAGGAGTTTGTCCTTGGATCGCTCCAGTCTACGCCCAGCACTGCGGGGAGTCTGTATGCAGGACCCGAGTAGTTCTATGGCAACAAGAATGCCAGCCATGCCACTGATGCTGATATTCTTTGTTTAATGATTGTGGAAGTGGTCTGCAGAGGGTACTTAGGCCGCAGTTCAATTAAAACAAACTCCGGGCCTGTGCACTTCATCGACTAGTAAATCCAGTGATTTTTGGTGCAGATCGACGGTCGAAGGTACAAGCCCCGGAACCGCACAGTTTCGAAACGCTGCCAAAGCTTAAAAAGCAATGTTACCTGAGTTCTTCTGGCGGCTGCAGAACGTGAGGACCGTGAGGACAGACTTGGAGACTGCTTCCGGCTCTTCTTGCAACGAAGCAATGAATGCCGTCAAGTCTCAGTTGCCTCGCGCAAGCTCTGGCTCAGCTCGTCTAAGATGGGCATATACGTCCTTAATCTTGAGGCTGTCTCTGGCAGAATACGTGCACTCAGCTTACTCTCGGGTTTCGTGACCGGGGTCAATGCTTCGTTGGCTCTCAGATGTGCCAGGCAAGGATCCACTCAAGACTTGTTCTCGGGAAGGCAAGAACGGGGACTTTTCGCTTCACGCCCGGTGCCCAATCCTCACACACGGATATTGCAGTCGAGGAAGTTACCGTCCAGCAGCTCATCCACACAAGTGTGATGCCAGCGACCGAGGCAGATCGGATCTGTCCACAAGCTGGGAGCGCATCACAGCAGCCATGGAACAGGGGAGAATATTTCGCCAGGCCGTAACAGTTGTTGTGCCTCGGCCTCATCCCCCACCAGGGAACCATAATTCTGGTAGTCCTGGCTAGCGAGGCCAATTACCAAGACTGTCTTCCATTGAACAGCCATCATAAAGGCTGGTTGAAGCTTCATCCAGGCAGAATGGAAGGAGCCGAGAATGGCGACAGCCTTGCTGCCAATCACCAAATTCAATGCAGCAATTCGGCCTTCCTCAGTCATGTTCACTTGAGACTGCCAGAAACGAGTGCTGAATCGATCCTGTCCAGTGCGTTCATTGGGCGTGTAATGAAGTCGGAGTCCCTGATATCCGCACCATCGCTCCAGAAGCTGCAGTTCTGCATGGTCCTCGGTTTGTAGCAGAACATCCGCGATGCCGTAATGTTCCTTGAAGATTTTGAGCTGCGAAGTAAACTCGCGCATCTCGATGTCGGGCACCTCAACACTCTTGTTGCCGCGCCGAACTGCTGCAACAACAAATGGACGATGGCTTATTCCGTGCATGTTCGCGAATTGATCGGCTGCATCCTGGAGCCATGGAAGAGGATTCATGAGGATGCGAACCATAGCCGCATACCACCATAATCTTCCCTTGGAAACAGTGCTGGGAAAAAAGGCCTCGTCACTTCTTTGCGACGCTCTCCAAAGAACCTGCCGTTCGTTGCACGTGCACGATGAATTCTGCTTGCCTGCGTCGACATCATTCTGCCAGTCTGGAAGAGTGGAGAAATCCTGCCGGATGGCCTTGGCGACCAGGTCTGAACGCTCACACCTGCTCCAGCTTTGAAAATAGCACTTCAGAGAATGGGGTGGGTCACTGCACCATCGCTGGTGCCACTTCGTGTGGTCCCGATCTGTGACTGCAGCGGCTTCTACGAGGACGCGCTCCTCCAAAAAGGCATGTAAAAAGGCACTAAAAAGGATGAAGGCGTTCCAGCCAAATCCAGATGTTGTCCTATCGTCGTGGTACACCATGTAGCGGGCATTTTCGCAACTGGACGGGTTCTGGCTTTCAAGAATCTTCTGTAAGATATCCTCGGCACTTCGAAGCCGAAGGCTGCGCAAGGTTGAGGCCGTGGCACACCATGAGCCGCCACAGCGCAGTGTCCCAACGAACCTCATGGTAGTGAACATTTCTTTCGGCTTCGGTGCCAATGCGCGCTGAGCTGGAGCGACGATCTGCTCCGAAAGAAGCCATGCCAACTCTCGGCGAACCTCCTGATGGCCTTCTGATGCATCGGCGTGCTCGGAGCGCACGCCGATGACAATAGCACTTGCAGCGATGAAAAGGCGCTGTGGCCGATGGGGGGCCGGCACCATCTCCCATGCCGCCACAGTCTGCGCAGTACCAGGACAAGAAGGAGCTGCTAGTGTAAACTCACTCAAACCAATAGGTGAACATCAAACACCCTCTCCGTGCTCTTACCGGCTGGGGCACTGCTTTCGACGGACCTAGCTGGCAAATCCCGAAGAGCTGAATAATGGCATAACGTTCTTCGCGACAGGCGCATCTTTGAGAACACCGAAGACTAGACTGAAACAAAGTCCCTAAGCCGTCTCGACGATCAGATACACTAAGAAAAACCGTGAGATGCGTCAGCTATTCCAGAAGAAGATTCAGGCCGTTCAGGCCCTACAGGGATAGGGACAAAAAGCAAAATGGCAACGGAGAGCGCTCTTCGCCATGTCCATGCAACTAGGATCCCGTGCCGCACGATTGAAGCTTTGTCTGATTTGCTTGCTCGGCTGTGGGTCATGAAAGTTGCACATGGCCCTTTTGGCCGTTGGCCTACAAAGCCAACCATGGATCGTTATAAGCGCACTTGAGAGGTTTTCAGGTTGACACATGGTTCAAGGCCTACTGCTCACCGGAGGACCAAGAAACCTAATGATGAAATCACTCCTGTAACAGCCACAAAACTGCTGTGCTTCGGAATTCCTAGGAAGGACCGAAAAAAGATTGGAACCTGGCTCAGATAGACAAAGGCTTCACAATTTTCGCAAAACGTTTGGGCAAGGCACTCATGCCGCTCCACGACGACAGCGTAGCAAACCGAAAGTCTTTCTTGATCGCGCGCCTGCAAGCCGCAATCGTCAGGCGTTGCATACGCATGGCCTATAATAGCACAGTGCGAATTTGCCGGCGCTGCGTGGGACATGGCACTTTTGTACTACAAGATTGGAAAGATCTGAGCAACAATGACAACTCCTACAGCAGCGGCGCCAGATGCGGTTCATGTCGACGTTGTTGCTTCGAGGTTTGGACATATGGTGTACTTACGATTGCTGGGCATGCATGCACACTCCCAGCTTACGGCAGCTTTGAACATTGGACTCCGAGATTTCTTCGTGGCTACCTCAGACCAACTCCATGCTACGTCGTCACTGCCCACCCGTCAAGTTTCCAACTTTGACTTGAGGCTGCTTTCAACGTTTTTGTCAAATGTTTTGTACGGCGGGTTAAACCCAAAATAGATCAAGGGTACAGAGTATATCGCGTCAACGTCCGTGCAATTCTCGACTCTCAAGAGCAACTTTTGTAGACTTTCCGTGACAGTAAGATTCGGAGAGCTGAGTCCGTGGCCCTTTTCTGAAGTCGGCGCCGGAAACGCGACGGCACCTTCGAAGGCTTCATGCCGTCGAGTACCTGGCTGGGATTTCCACGGCTACAATGCTTCGTGGGTATAATTACTATCAGACTCTTCCAAAAGTTGCTACGAGTAATTGTCATCACTGTCTTCATGATGAACTACTTATGTTGGGGCTGGATGTACGTATGGGATTGCCGCACGTTGTTTTCACATTGACGGCAACAAAATTGGACTGGAGCTCACCCCTCACCACTGGTCTCAGACCTGTGCTTTCCAGCAGCAGCCGGAAGCTTGTCTCAAGTAAAGCGATGCAAAGACATCTGAAAAAGCAGCTCGTTGGTGCCATGCCCTAAAGGCATGTATTGGCAAAAACTGAAAGAGCGATCGGTGCTGGAATCGCAGCATTGCTCAGTGCATCAGCGCTGCACCCTGTGATGCTGGAAGTGCTTTCGGCCCAAACGCACACAGCAAGAAAGCTACGATTGTCGCACTCAGGGCTTCTGCCACGAGGGCTAGGGGTGGGAATATGAAAGGCAGCACCATGTCTACATCCTGGCGACTCATGACGGTCTGTCTAGCCGACCACACGACAGCAAGGCCAACGAAGCCACCAAAGAAGGCTCCGACAAGGGCCCAGCTGTGCCGCGCTGCGCTGGGTGAGCGGCCGACAGCTGCAGCAAGCGTCTCTGCAGCAGTGCAGCTGTGGACAGCGACTGCAGGAAGCAAGAAGAGAACGAAGGGCCACCAGTGCACGGTTGCGGCCAGCAACACCAAAGAAGCAAGCAAGCGGTGAACCTTCTTGAAGGTGCTAGCCAGCCACTGCTGCTTCCGAAGAGAGGCAATCAGGGTGTGGATCAACAACAATGAAGCGGTGACCATTCCAAATATGTAGAGCATGTTCTCGCCATCTGAAGGTGATGAGAGCTTTATGTAGGTCCACAAGCCTTTGTCGATGAACCATATCATCTGTCCCACAGCGTGCACTGCTCCCCATACGGCTGTCCACCAGCCAACTTTCTTATGGATCTCAAAGACGGCACTGCGTGGTACTCCTAAGCACGGAGCGACGGCATCACTCACGGGAATGGCAACAAAGGCCAAATGCCAGCTCAAAGCATAGGCCGCTGCTAGCGACACCGCACAGGCGACAGCAACAAAGCCACTGCGGAAGAACGGATCCCATAGGAACTGCACAAGTGGCAGCAGGAACCACAACCAAGATACAAAGACCCAGGCTTTCATCCAGACCTTGTCAGATGCCTCACTTCCGGAGAAGGCGCTCGTGGCATCTGTTGCAGTGAAATTCACCGACCCCTTGTGAACTGCCATTCTGGCGGCGCCAAGAATCAGCGGCGCACACCACAAGCCAGTCACAATCAATGCCATAGCAGTGAAGCCTGCAAAGACACCAGGAAAGAAACAGTACTGGTCAGAGCGTCCGGATAGCCTGGTGCAAAACTGGGGGCCGTCAAGATTGACAAGACCACCAACGCCACCGACCCCACCGACAGGCAATCCAGTTGGCATCAGTGCTTGCCTAACTGGCTCGTACAGCACGGCTAGTAGAAGCATGCCCTCCAAAGCCCGCACTAGGCTTCTGCTCACGACCGCCATCGCATGTACCGTGGGGGCGCACCTTACCGTACAAGACCCTACGACCGTCTCTGTACAGCACTGGTCCAGTAACCTTGAGCCTCAGGTGAACTTGTCGTGGGCTTCGGATTGCTGAGCTTGGCATCAGGAAGTATTTCTTACAACTGGAGTGTTTGGCTCAGCACACCAAAATGGATGGGAGCTTGCCAATGTGGAGTCTGAAGCCTCGAACCCTGCCCGAACTGCACCACTTGCCTGAAAATCCAAATTCAACACCAGGGCGAACGACAAGGACCAGTGCTCACAGCTTTCCAGCTGGGTTCTGGGCTCGGGTGCTTGCAAATAGCGGCAACCGCTGCTGCATGCGGTTGAGCAATGACGATAATGACAGGATTCCAGAAAGGTTGTAAAGGAAGCCCTCATGCAACATCCACCACAATGGCCGGCATCGAAAGCCTTGACTTGACCGGCAGCACCGCAAGCCAAGGGATGGGCAAGACAGCGCACCCCGAAATTCCAGGCCTTCGGTGCTCCACTCCCAGGGAGTGGGGTGGTTTTACAAAACCTAAGTACCCCAAAATCGAAAACAACACCAGAAAACTACAAGAGCCCCGAAGCCCTCGCTTGTCGCCTGATCCATAGCATCGAAGTTTTGCACGAGCAAATCCATGCGACGGACCAGGTCCTTTCAGCTTCTTCAGGTCTGAATGACTCGGTGTTTTTGTGATTCGAGCCCCGGCGCGCTTGGATGCTCCATTTCCGTACGGACGGAGTTCGCTTAAAGCATATTCTGGTAGCAAGGCTGTCGGGATTCCAATGTGCGAACCCTGCCAAGTCCTTGTCTTCACGTATGTATGCACGTGTGTGTGTGTGTGTGTGTTTCTGATCATGTGCTCATGCATGGCATGCATGAATGTCTGCGTGTCTGTGTCTCCATGCATGCGTACATGCACCTGTGCATGCACGTAAGTACATACCAATGAGTTCCCAAGACGCTGGTCACATAAAACGAACTGGGCTCCGAGAGCCCCGGCAACACCTTCCTGTAAGGCCGATGTCGACTATGACGATGTCTCATGATACGGTACTCTGTTTTGGGTCCTCCGCCGTCCGAACTGCCACTCGCAGGTTTAGCTTCGTCTCGAGGATGGCGGAGATGAAGTTGATGTGGCTCCTAGACATTCTCAGAGGAACTTTGCAGGAAAACGCCTTGGTCTGTCGATTGAAACTTCAATCAAACGACTTCAGAGCAAACAGTCATGCCGCTCCGAATCTTTATGGTGCCCACTTCTCCATCTACCCTTCAAGCTGAAGTCCTCAGAAGTGATGCCTCCCTGATCATGAGGAACACCGCCTTGCAAGCAGGTGCTTGAATCATCGCCACGGCTTTTGTAGGGATTCGGTGTACATCTTTTCTTCTCCATGCTTCGCCCTGTTACGGTCTCTTTTGGGTAAGCGGAGGAGAATCACGAGGTCGCGGCATCTTCCCGCTTGGAAATCTTACTATCCATGAACCGTGTTAAGCCTTACTCTGAAGCTGCGCTGGGCGTTCGTCAGCCCCACAGTATGAAAGTTGAATCAAAGGCAGGCCTTCGGAAGCAAGGTCAAGGCTACATGTCGGTGGCAAACCCCTCCCGGAAGCTGTCTCCAAAACATGCAAACCGGAAGGACACGTCTTCCCGCCGGCGTTTCCGATTTGTTCCAGTGATTCCGGTTTCACAGCTGTTCATCTTCTGTGCTGTGATGAAGACGGAAACCCAACACATGCTGGAAGGGTTTCGAATCGGCTGTCCACATCCGAAGCCGCCGAACCGAACTTCGCTGAACAAACTGGCAACCGTCAAGGTATCCAGCAGCCTCCTGCACCTTCTTGGACATGACTCCTGTGCTGAGGCCGGGGAGGTCAGGTTGTCAGCCGGATCCAGCGATTCCGGATCAAGCCACTGCATGTGCCAGAGAACGTTGTGATGCAAGCATAAGTATGACACAGCTGCATCCGCGAATTCAACAAAATCCCCCGCCTGAATCGCAATCCCGTACCCCTCAGCGAACCCATGCAAGCTGCCTGTGGGGCCGGGCCTGTTCGTGGCCACACACGTTTCTGTGTGAAGGTCCCATCCCAAGCGATCTCCTCGCAAAGAAGGGGGTTTATACTCTAGCTGGGCATTTTGTGTCACAGACCTTGCGCTTTCCCGCTGCCAGCTGATCTAGTCTAGTGGCAGAACATGTGTAGTGAAGTCATGAAGCTAAGCATACCAGGAAACCACTTGGCCAGCTGTTGAGGCAAAACATTTCAGGCGCTGAAGATAGCGCGAAGCCTTGAACCTGAGATGCTCGGATCCCGTTTTCACGAACGTTTGGCATGTCAGTATAGTTGTCCTAGTGCGGCCTTCCACGGACATGCTTGAACTAAATCAGCCTCGTAGTACTACTTGCACAGGAGTGGATTTGGAGTTGGCAAGCCATAATAAGGTTCTATGACAGCTCATGAGTGAGGCATCAGGCTTGAGCTAATCAGTGCTTTCAAAAGCTTGTAATCGTCAGGTATCATGCCGGGACCTGAAAACCAGTTGGTGGCTGGAAAGCTCCACTCCAGCAGTCGGACTCCGGAATTTCAATCCAGTGCATACTCACACCTGTTGAGCTTCCCATGAACGATCCGAGTTGGTCAGACGCTGCCTTCAAGCCTGGCCCCCGATGGTCCAGACTTGACTCCCTGGAAGCCAAATCCGTCCTTGAGAAGGGCTTCCCAGCCGCTGATGGCCCCACTCAACTTGTCCTCAAGGCGCCAGATGACCACCTGCTTTGTAACACCGCTTGTTGCAGGTTCCTGGGAGCCTTGGAAGCCCAAAGCCTTGCTACCAGTGGACCAGAAGGATTTTGTGTGTAAATAGGGCCCCAAAGCGAGTCTGCCTCTGTCGGAATGCTCGGGAAAAAAAACTGAAACTCTTCCGACTCTCCCCCTCACATTCCGCCCAAAACCACCCTAGACCTTATAAACCCTTCCAAGGCAACCTTGGTCTGGCCTGGGTTCCGCTCACAGCCCGCAGGGGGAGACTCACCTTCACGCTCTTCCTGGCGTCCAAAGGCTTCTCTCTTCCGGGGGGTGGGTGACTAACTCTATGGCATGTACCCCAGATTACCCCAGTAACCTACTATTTAGGTAACTGGAGCCCTATACAATGTGTTGTTAAGCATCGACCCCTGGACAGTAGTCAGAGACCCGCAAACATGGGCTTCTCTCTCTCTCTCTCTGCCTTGAGCTTGCCGCCTTTAACTTGAAGATCACACAAACGAGTCAATCTAACCTTGGAAACCGGGGGCCGACTTGTGCACCAACTGTGCTTCTCCATAAACCAGGCAGACCAAAGAGACGGTCAGGGATGCTGTACTCAGGATTGAAGCTCCTGCACCGTCCTATGCTTCGAAAGTGCTGGCTGCTGCGGCGTGGGAGGGGTTTTCAGTGGCCGATCAGTCGCCGCCCGCTTCTTGCACTGGGTGGTGTCTCAAGGGTTTGTTTACGGCTGCCGGGCTCGACAATCACATCGAGCGGATCAACTGCAAGTGTATGCGTAGCCCAAAACTAACTATACCTGGTTTAGGAAACTGAAACACTACGACGACACCCAAACATCACCAAGCTAATTTTTCGAAACTCCTACGTGCCACCCAGTAGCAAGGCTCTCTTCATCCAGGGCGACTTCCTGGGATGGTGGCCGGGTCACGAGTGCCAGGACATTTGGTTGGCTTCGCGATGCAGCATGCAGTCCAGGAGTATATCCAGCGCAGGCCTTGCCTTTGCAAGTAAATCTGCAGGTGACTCCCACATTCGGCTTTTGAGCTTGGAAAACAGGTTCGCCCTCGGTACACCTCGGTTCAGGGAGGTGTCTCCAGGGTGTCTCTATAGACTCACTCCTTCAGGCGTTAAAAGTACTTAAAGCCGCCAGACTTGTGCCAGCTGCTAGGCATACTAAAGCTCCTCCTAGATGGTGAAGGTCTCGTCCTCCGCTTGATTCACTAAGTCTTGGAATTTCTGCTTCACGACCGCACCGATCCAGTGAACCATGGCGCCTTTTACGTGTTGGTTCACTCGCTGGAAGCCCACGGTGCTCACGATGCTCTGCTTCACCTTCTCTTCGTCCCTGGGGTCGAAGGCTTCAGCACTGGAGACGTTCACGTCGCACAGGGACCGTGTCACTTCGCTGATGCCCGCGTCCCCAAGGGAAATCCTGCATAGACCAGCAGGTTTGAGAGGCGCTCTCACTATAAGACGATTGCGTCATGCTGATTTCGGACGCACGGCCAGCTACCGGCGGACTACGGATATGACGACTGCACGCTGTTTCTTTGGGACTCACCATGAGCTACCAGCGGACTCGGGATATGCGCAGAAACGCATCATCCCAACACACGCCGGCTGCGGTGAAGGTTTTCATTAGTTCAGACAGTGCAGGTTGTGAGCCCATATTAACGAACTAACTGCGGGCACTGAAGTCTGCATCGAAGGAAGGGCCAGAATCAAATGCCGCCCCCAAGAAACAAAGCTAGCAAAATCCGTAAGCTGAGCAGCTGTTGGGACAGGGACACCTCAGCAACCGGGCCAAATGTACAAAGTGAACTTATAAAGTGCACACTCGACGCGTTCGAGGAGGCGCTCAGACCTCTTAGATGAGGCTTGTATACAGTGCCAAAATTTAATAAAGGGCGGGCAAGGAGCCGTTGCATCCCGTGGCATCACGAAGGTCACGGGTATCTCCAACGAGCATGCCAGGTACTGCTCGTAGATGGTCCAAACCCGCTTGAGGTAGACGGGCTCGTGCCACGCATCCAAGATGGCCACCACACGGCCGATGCGCAGCAGGTTCTGCTTGAAGACCTCATCCAAGTTGTCGCTGCCGGCGGCGCTGCCCTCGATGATGATGCGATGTTGGTTGTTGACAAAGAAGCACATGTAGAAAAAGGCTTCCTCCCGGAGGATAAACTAGGGGGAGGGGACAGGGGGGAGGAGGGTTTCGGGTCGGAGGCCGAATCTGGCTGTGCGCCACGTGTACACCGAGCGACATGTGCCAGCAAGCACGTTGTCCTCGATGCCCGGCGCAGCGGAGCGCCACATGCGCAAGGCGCTCTGCACTTGCCCCAAGGAATACTTCCAACTCCAGGACCTGTCTAGCGATACGACGTGCAAAACCCCCCACCCCCAGCCCCACCTGCATACTCCTGGAGTTCGTCTCTCATGTAGCAACAATCGCTGACAGGTCAGTAGGCAAAGAAGACAAATGCTGACTGCGACTTGGAGGGACATGAAATGGTCCTGCATCTGCCGATGTTGTGGCGGAAGCAGATCTACCAGTGCACAGCCCGGTCGTCCATCGCGTGGACAGCGGACATCCTTGCCAAGAGGCGTGTCACCAAGCCAAAAGGCCTGGGTCATTATATGCAGATATCGCAAGTGGTTGGAGGAAGCTTTTCCCTTGATTTTGCCAAGAAACCTCTTTCAGGCGGATGAAGGTGGGATCTTCCTCACCTGATCGCTCGCGGGCCAACTGGGCGAAGTCCGTCAGCAAATAGGACATGCTGACGCCAGCGTGGGCGCTCTGCTTGGCCCGGATCCTCGGCTCCACTGCGCAAGAAACAGCCGCAAAGTTACGGTGGAAACGTCAACGTGTGCAAGGATGGGCTCAGGTTAGATGACAACAAGACTATCAAGACATGCGTGGCTCAGGCCTCAGCCGCCCCCTCATAGAAGCTACCAACAAAGGCGTCCCCCCCTCCTCGCCCAACTCTCCTGCCTCTTCAGTCACCCCCTGCAAAAATCGAAGTAGCTCAAACCACAAACTCCAATAAAACCCTTTGTGTGAACTACCCACCTTGCTCCCCACCTCCCTCGACTCAAGCACCAAGACAATGGCTTTATAAGGACGCATTTACATTACGCACTGCTAGAACATCCGAGCAAAAAACCTCCCTCCCCCGGGCCTCCCCCTCTCCGCGGCCATGCGAGCGTTCAACAGCGATGATTCGTTTTTGATGCTTACTTACTGCAAAGAAGTATATCACTGCCTGGCGAAAGTTAAGTTTGTACGTCTCCGCTCATTTTGCGCGGCGAAATATCCAGAACCGAGAATGCATTTAAATGCTTGTGACATAGGCACCGTGCGCTCTTGGTATATATCCCATCTACTTCATTTGCGGTCATGTCCCATGCGCAACTGGCCTCCAGAGCAGCGCGAGGGCACACTATGCACATCATCAATTCTAAAAACACCAAGACTCTCCGCGGCTTTCGCGTCAACCTGCATCTCAGTCCAACCAAAACTGCTCAAAGCCAGGACGTACCTGTCCACAAGGGCGCTACGGTCAAACACAATTCTGGCAAGTCTAAGTGTAAGTGTGAGTGAGGCTGTGAGACTGTGAGGGTGTGATCGTGTGGGTTTGTGAGAGTGTGAGTGTGTGTGTGTGTGAGTGTGTGTGTGTGTGAGTGTGTGTGTGTGTCTCTGTCTNNGTCTGTGTCTGTGTGTCTGTGTCTGTCTGTGTGTGTGTGTGTTTGTGCGTGTGTGTGTGTGTGTATCTGTGTGTGTGTGTGCGTGCGTGCTTATAAGGCATGCCGGAATGCCGTGTACGGGCATGCAAATCTCACGCAGCATCCTGCACATCGTGAACGCGGCAACAGGTCTGCACAATTACCTGCGAACTGATCCGAAAACACCCTCACGATACGCTCGCATGCGCTACCCCTTGCCTTTGCACAGTGTCAGCCTTCTCGTTCCAGAGTTCTTGCTCGAGGTCTCGCAGGACGGAGTTCACGGCTTCGCCACGCTTCTCGTTTCGACGCTGCTGGTGCGCTTTGGCGGCTCTGAGTACGAGGAACAGGAAGCCCGAGCCCACCAGCAAAAAGGCCAAAATGACCGGCAAGTGCCACCACATACCTAGAGTCGACTCAGGAGACAGGATGGCGCTTTTCACACAACAGGTTTTTATTTGGAGAGCTCACGCCGAGACAAGCGACAGGTGTCATCCTGCAAGATGAAGGGGAACCAGCAGTGCTCGCAGGCGCCGCCTTCTGCGTACTGGCCCGGAGGGCAGTCCTTGCATCCGTCATGGCCTCAGCACAACGGGAGACCACGGTGTTGCGTGCACGTTGAGCAGCAGCAAGTGACAACTTTTGCTGGGAGGCCGACGGGACGTGGGAACTCCCGCCGGGCAAGGCTCGCATTGCGTGGAGGCCTCTTTGGCAAAACGCCCTGAAGGGCAGGGCTCGCAGCGATCGGCAGATGAGGATGATGAGGCAGCCGTCGCGGCTGGCGCTGTCCCGGCTGGACATGTGACGCACTGCAAGTCCTTAGCTTGTTTTTTCTTTGGGACGTCTTAATTGCGTGTGTTTCAGGATCTCCTGCACTCTCTGCAGCCTCCGATAACTCCAGTGGTGCCTGGTGGCAAACTCAGAACGAAGCCTTGTTCCAGCTTGGTCAATTAGGCCAGGTCACTGATGTTTGAGCTGCAGCGAACGCGCTATGTTCCCATACCGCCGTGGCTTCAAGATCTCCCTATGAGGATTCACACATCTGCTTACAGATTTGACTATAAAATAAAAATAGTATATATATATATACACATACGCATTTAATTATTTGTTTTCTATTTATATGTATAAGTATATATTTATATTCAATATTTTTCCATAGTTATATGTATATATTTTTTATTTTTATTTTTACATGTATTTACAAGTTTTTGTTGCCATGAGCTGCTTCCACACTGTTACACACAATATCCTATACTGTCACGGGGCGCCCTCTCTACATTCGGGTGGATCTCTCGTAACTACTGTTGGACTCTCGGTTCTTCCCAGGGTTCTTTCACGCGTCAGGACCCTTCGTCGCGTTTGGTTTAAGGGGGTGGACGCTTATTTTCAGGGGGAAGGGATTAATATACAAATAAGCTGCTGCCACACTTTTTACACAGTATCCTCTACTGTCACGAGGCGCTCTATCTACCGTTGGGTGGATCTATCTTCGCTGCTGTAGGATTCTCGGTTCTGCTGCCAAGCATCAGGAGCCTTCGTCGCGTTTGGAACCCGGTTGGCTGCGGAGCAGGCGCAGCAGGAGGCCGCTGTCACGGGCCCGATGGGACTACGACGGTCGTCTCGAGGATGGGTTCCCGGAGGGCAGGAGAAGGTGCTGCAGGATGCCCTGAGAAACGCCAAGGTGGATCCTGCACCGAAAAACAAGCGAAACAGCAAGCACGTGAAGCTGCTGCTGTACGACACACATAAAATCACCACGTGCTTCGGGCCACTGGCGGCATTTCGCCCGAATTCTTCTTCAGCCATTGTGATGATGCAGTGTGCAACAGTGCAGAACTGATACGCAGCTTCAAGGCCAGACTATATAAAGAAAGAAACACAAATCAACATTGCGGCTACGTCAACCAGATTGCACCTGTCCCCTGTGAGAGCTTCGCTTCAAGATCAGCCTATGCAGAAAAAAACATACAGCTTGAAAATCAACATTGAGCCTTTATACGTCAGCCAGATTGCGCCTGTCAATTGTGAGATCTTTGACATTTCAGTCTACTGCATTGGCCCACGCCGCCTGTCCTTCCCCAGTTCTCCTGAGATCTTTTGGTTCAAACCAACAGCTTCCTGACGAATCCAGCAGAAAAGAGGAACAATTCGAGGCATCGCAGCTTCGAGCGCAGTCACGGAAGCCCGAAACGGCTGTGGCAAACACGGCCCCTCGCAGTGACCAAGCGCCTCTTGCAAGCCTTAGGGCTGTAGGGAACTGGGAATCGTGGACGCGAAACAGGAACACTGAGGGTTTTCCAAAACAGGACGCCGTGTAAGGCATCAGCTTCATAGTCTGCTTTAAGAGGCTCCACGTGTTCGATAAGCCATGGCTTAGGGGGGACATAAGAATTGGGAAACGTTAAACAAAACATTGTTTGAACCATTGCTCTGAAGCTCTCCCAGAAACTGGAGGTATCCTGAATTCACCGGCAGGCAAGACCCTGCGAGGCAAGCCAGCTTTGTGTCTTTGCATGGACAGCTGGGACAACTGCTGAAGGTCCAAAATCGAGAGATGTCGGAGGGCAAGCCCTCTGCCTTCGAACTGGCAAGAAGTTCGCAGTCCGTCATGCCAGAGCCAGAAAAAGCACTGTTCATGGCGTTTGCATGTGGGATGGATGTGAAGTTCCACGTCGACAACGGCTGCCTGAAGCTACTTGCGCTTAGAAACATGTTCTTCATGTCTGTCACGGCTGATACGTCCCAAGTGCTAAGGGGCTGGTCAAAAGACGAGGCGACGAAAAACATGCCGCTCATGTTGGTGACGCCTGATACGTCCCAAGCACCAATGGGTTGGTTGAAAGAACTCGCACGGTAAAACATGATATTCATATCGTGAACCGAGCTGGTGTTCCAAGAACTGATTGGTTGGTTGAAGTTGGTAGCCAGGTAAAACATGGAATCCATAGCTGCAACCTGCGATGTATCCCAATCACCAATGTGCTGATCAAAAGATGTCGCACCATAAAACATGTAACTCATGTCGCGAACGGAGCCCGTGTTCC